GACGAGTGAGTTCAAAGTATTCGAATTCAAATTAGGGAATACACGCTAAATATATACAATATATTTAACCGCATTTTATTTTAATTATGAATCGAACAAAAAGAGAAAATTGTAGATATTTAAATAAGATTTAAATGATTGATAATCAATATGTGCCCGAATTGATTGGGATTGATATTTTATTTAATGTTAAATATTAATTAAATTGTTTAATTAATTATTTAATATTATTTTGATTTTAAATTAATTGCTGAATTAGAATAAAGAAAGTCAAAAGGTTGATGGAAAAATCATGTTTGAGTTAGTGGAATATTGAGTGCCAATATATGGTTTACCAAACTTGCATGTTTGCAACATAATCCCACAAATTTGAATGGAATTTTGAGGGTCAAAATTTGATTGAACGAAACTTGCATGTTTGCCAAATGAACCCCACAAATTAGAATGAAATTTTGAGTGTCAAAATTTGGTAATCTCAAATTTGCATGAACATGCAAACATGACTCTATAAACAGAGTGATCAAGGTACATGGAAATTCTTCTTCAAAAACTTTGAAAAAATCTCTCAAAACTCTCTCTTTACATATACTAAATTCCTATCAAGTTTCATCACTCATCGGATTCCACAATCCCGTTCTAAGGCCGGAGAATAGTAGGGAAGACACTAGTGGTGGTTCGAAACCATTCGTGAGGAAAAAGGAATTTAAACTACAAAAGGTTAGTATTCAAACTCATTGAGTTTTAATGCTTTTGAACATGCTAGCTAATTTACTATAATTGATGCACTTAGAGTGCCTAAGATCCAAATTGCTTTCGTAGGTGTTATAGTAACACCATCACCAGTTGTAGTGGTCGCTCAGCACGAAAACTCGTTTGAGTTGGGAATGGAAGTCTTGTTTGTTTGGAGATTAGGCAACTTTCACATAACTGGTTCAGGTGTATGATTTTGGGTAGGCCCGTAACCATCTTCTTATCGACCATCATTTTGAGCGTCTACAAGTTCATGTGCCCAAGTCTTGCATGCCAAGTCAAGTTGGATCTACAAGTACCGTCAATAGGGAGGTGGGCTTGCTAGTCTCCAATAGTATCTTGTAGAGGCAGTTATGAAACTGTTCTACCTTCAACAACAAGGTTAGGTTCCATTTATATCAAACATCTTGAGAAACGAACCAACTAACTCCACTCTGCTTCCTTCTTCCATCATCAGACCAAGACTAATAATGTTACTCTTCAAGTTTGAGATATAGTATACCTTGGTAGTAAACATTAGTCGCTAGTCTTGCACTGGAACAAAAAGGATCATTTGCCTTGGATCGATAAAATTGATCTCGATCCATTGCCAAACTTCACATTTTCTATGAACTTCTCATCAAGCTCCTTGAACTTTATTCGATCTCTAGTCATGTGGTTGCTTGCTCCGTTGTTAAGGTTCCACATGTTGGTCTCCACTCGGTCTTCTCCTTTTGTGAGAAGGTTCGCCAAACCCTTTTTTTCGTTGAGCATCAACAGATTGGGCGTGTTCTCGGCCAACATCAATGCGGTCTCTTGATCTTGCGTGAGTGTGAGGTTTGCCTCCTCATCTCGCTTCTTCTTGGGGCACTCTACTGCATAGTGCCCATATTTTCCACAAGATTAACACTTGATCATACTCTTGTCCTTCCAGGAGCTGGCATTGTCATGGGTTTGTGAGGTATTGTCACGACCTCCTCTACCACCATGTCCATGACCTCTGTTTTCCTTGTTATGGCTTCCGAGTCCCCTCGTACTTGAAAAGAAAAAGTCAACTGCATCATTCTTTTTCGTCTGAGCGAGCCACTCCTTATGTGTGAGTAAGAGGTGTTTTCCTCCTCTTTGTCTTCATAGCCACGAAGTTTGTCCTCATGGACCTTAAGACGACCAACGACCTCCTCAACTGACATGTTCTTAAGGTTGCCGAACTACTTAATGGAGGTAACAATTTGCATGAATCTTGGGAGAACTACTCGAAGGAACTTCTTGACAACGGAGATCTCCTCCACCATGTCGCCTAATGAACGGATGTCGCTGGCGATTGTCATCAACTTCACGGCAAAGTCATCTATTAACTCGTCATCCTTCATGCGAATAGCCTTGAACTAACTCTTCAAGATCTACACCTTTGCTTCCTTGATACGTTCCACCCACATGCATTGTTTGCAGCGTCTCCCATGCTGCCTTTGCCGAGTCCTTCTTTGCCAACATGAGAAGAACGTCCTCTGAGACTAGTTGGTAGATGGCAGCAAGAGCCATCCTATCCTTACGCTTCTCAATGTCACCATGCTCTATGGCGTCCCATGATCGGATGTCAAAACAAGTACAAGAGACAAAAGAAAAACTTGAGGGGCAAGAGATTTTAGGAACAAAGGAAACCTTAAGCATTTAACTAAAAACTATTCACGATTTTCCTAATTAAAACATAAAACTTAGTAATCACAAAACTTGGTCACAATTCTACTAAGTCTATTAATAATTCTCCTAAAGTTGCAATTCTACAAAATTTATTAATAATTCTTTTAAAGTTACTCAATAAGGTAGTGACTTATTCTACTAAGTCAAGTTTATAAGCTCGCAGAGCTTCCTCGAAAATAGATAAAGGATTCCGGTTAATGCTTACCCTAAGTCATACAACCTCTTCCTGTATCAATGCCTCTAATAGAACACGATATCATAAAGCTCCCTTGATCCATAAGTTTTGTAGGAAGTTTGCATTTTGATGTTGCATTACATTTGTTTGTTGAGGCCAAGTGTTGATTATGTCGATAGTGTAATTTTTCGATGGTAAGCAATTAAACATGTGCGTTATTAGATGAATTAAAATGATGCATTTTAATGTTTTAAAGTTTTTTCTTGAGATCCCAAAATTTAAAACAAGCACGTGGATTCTTATGTTTCTCCTATAAATCAGGAATTTGGTGGTTTAAAATTTTTGCAGGAAAGATTACGCCATATGTGACTCAAAATAGGATTAGAAATTTAGACATTATTGCTTGTATTTGTGTTGCATAAATAAATTAGAAACCAAATCCAATCCAAATGACGATCTAAATTTATACACTATGTTAAAACTTGATTCATAGATCTGCAATAGGTGAGTTGACGCACATCATAATATGTTATAATTTTAATCTTAAAGTATGATTTAAGATGTTAGAATACAAAATGTTTTCTCTATTTTCATTAATGATTAAAAGAATTGTTGCAACTTTAGAGAATATCAAGAGTCTTGAAATTTAAGTTTTACAACTTTAGTCAATTGTACATTTCATTTAAAACATAAAACATCATTTAAAATTATAGAGTATTTGTGAAACAAAAATAAGAGATTGGTAAAATTAAATTCAATTAAAATAAACAACAACCCATTAAAATAAAAAAGTAAATTTCAATTAGAAGACGGTGTTGTTCAAATTTATTATAAATCGAGAAAATTGGTTTGGCATACACTTACAAAACAATATACAAAAAACTAAAAAAATATAAAGATGAATTGATGCTCCTGAATGACCCTTTTTGAGACTGGATAGCTTTCGAACACTCTTCCACCTGGATTGGCACTTAAAAAAAAAAAAAGAGAAAGGGGGTGAGTATATAAGTATACTGAGTAATACCTATTTGTAGACTCTCATCCCATCCTTGATCTAATAGAAAACCCTCAAACTTTATAGGTGTGTTGCTCTTGTTTTGCACATCCTTGGGTAGCTGCGGCGGTAACCAGTGTCCAGCGTTGAGGCGTCACCTCCAAGAACTCTTTCTAATAGGTGGGGACAAGATGAAGAGTGCTAGTTCGCTTGTATCAATGGGAGGTAGCTGGCGAACCCAACCCACATGTCATGTAGCTGCCAAAGGTTGGTTGAGCTACCCCCTGTACGTGCCAACTCCACCGATTACCCGCATGATCAATGATTTCCCACAAGATGGATCCATCGTGCAAGGTAATCACCTACTACCTGCATGATCAACGCTTTCCCACAAGATAGATCCACTGTGTAGGATAATCACTAATAACCCGCATGATCAACACCCTCTCAATAAGACAAATCTACTGTGTAGGATAATCCAACAAACTATCAAGTCACACGTCCTTAACTAGCCTCATGTCTAGCTCAACAACACCATTTCGAAGTAGAAAAAGAAATGGAAGCTTTGCAGCCGTACTGGTTGTTATTGACCTAGGATGCTACTTTTGTTTTTCAAGGTTTTCATGGTGGTCTTCTAGGACTGTAAGGGTGGTTTGGCAGTCTTGAGATGGATTCATGTCTCCAAGCTTCTTAATTTTAACTCTCTGACTCAAGATTAGTCAAAGGTACTAGGGGCCTCACCCTCTAATCATCTCTCACGATTCTATTGTGCTCAGACTACTGGAGGCTCCATCCTAAGTCGCGGTCTTAGCCAAATTCACGTACTCACCCTAGTCTCAAAAAATTGCTACTAGTTCTCTACAAGAAGAATCGCACATGCAATCACCTAGATTTGATATACAGTTAATCATGCATTCAGTAAAAAATGCTCAACGGAGCGATAACATCCATCAAGCACCTAAAGCATAGATACTCAGATTCTCATTCACTATATCACTACGATTATGAGGCAGTAGTAAACAACCCATTACATTATGCGGTGAGTAATTTAGTAATGCCAATATTAAGGGTGACTATTCTCATATTTATCCCATCGTCCTAAGCTTAGGTCATACCGAATCTAACCACCTAAGATTTGGTTTTACTAGCATGCATACAATTCAAAGCGATCCCTATAAGCATTACTTCCTAAAATCCGTATGGTTATTTACATGAATGATGTATTGATCGCTCGTGAATGTATATAGTAAAATGGTATAAAATTCACAAAGATAAATGCAAGTATAACTATCCCAAGTAACAAGTAATAAGTAAATTATCGATTCTAAGGAAAACTTTTTGTTTTCGATTACTTTTGTTTCTAGAAATTGATTGAGTTTTTTGTATCATTCAAATGGGTGTTGGTGAGTTTAAACTATTTAAATAAAATTTATGCAAACTGTCAACCGCTTTCGAAATACATAGGATTTCATGCAATTCTCGAGGTAGTGACATATGGACATGCAATTCTCGAGCGGGTTAGGTCAGACAAGTGGTTTGGCATGCAAGCGCTAAACCAAGTCGCCCCTTAGCTCTCAAGTCGAGTGAGCGAGTCAGATCGGTTCATTTGGGTTTGCCGCTAACATTGTGACTCATTGTGCATCTCACAATTTAACGCGTGTCTTTGGTGGAGGCCGAGGGGCTCTACTCCTCTCTTCGTGACATGTGTCGTCGTCTGGTTCATCTCCTTCACTTGCGTTCAAACGTTTCCATCCGATTTCCTTCCATTATATTTTAAATTTTGTTTCATTCCCTGCATAATTCAAATAAAAAATATTTTTCATGAAAATGGTAGAACTCTAATCCACTTTTACTACGATATTTTTCTTGGATTTTTTAGTTGACCACAAACAAGAAATAAACGAGTCGAAAATAAATATTCTTCTTACCGTTTCTTGGAATTCACTAAAACTCTGCCTATGGATTCAAATCAACTTCAATATCCATCACAAAATCTCCTGTACAACATACTAAAAATTTAGATCTTAATTTTAAGAAGAGCTCTCAAATTTGAAGTAAAATCGAAATCAAGAACTTAAAATGCGTATCTTCTGTTCTTCCTCCCTTCGAGATAGAATTGAATGGAACAAATCAAAAGACTACAAGAAATTGAAAAAACTTAGAAATTCACCAACCAACTCTTCAACAAATAACTTTTTGTCGTTTTTTTATAAATATAATTTATCATTAATTTAATTCTTATGATTTTTTTGAAAATTATTTCAAAATTTCGTGAGACAATAATACCTTTAACAATTATGAAGATAACAACAATGATTAGGACACTTTTTTTGGGAATCCAACTATTGTCAATTTATTCAAGGATCAATTAATAGACAAAAATATTACAAATAATGCTTTTAGTTCTAGATAAAAAATTGAATTTGATCATAACATTTTAACCAATTAAACTTTAAGTTCGTTTTCACATCTAAATTTAAAATTTTAAGGCATAAAGTATATTAATGTTTATAGCGAAACAAATAAAATTTAAAGTATTATTTCATTTCAACAATATTTGAATTAAAAAGAAAAAAAAAATAATGATAGTAAGACACACAAAGAGAATAGTGTTAAAGGAAGATTCACAAGGCTGCAACGCATCTCCCAAAGCTTTGGACCCTGAGAAAGCTGCCCTCCTTAGCTGCTTCTGCTCTCTTCAAATCCCTATCAAACCACACAAATTTAACAGAGATATATCCCTATCATATTATACAAATTAAGGGTCATTATAAAAAGTTAAAAAAAAAAAAAAAAACAAGCTTTTTAACCATTACTCGACAAAGGATGAGTTAGTTGTATGCGTGTGAAAAGTAAATTAAGGAGGAGCTCCCTTCAGTCCAATACATGACAGTGATGATCAAAGACCGCTCCTCCATCATTAGATCAGGAGCTCATCTCACAGCTTCGGCATCTCAACAGTGGAAATTTTGAGTATAATGAGCTATTGAACTAACGAATGAGCAGCAACCTTTTGAGCTTCTACTGTCTCGGGATGAACTGAAGAGAGCTCCTTCTTTTTCTGCACATAAACACAATACTTATGAAACCCACATCTTAATTTACTCCATATAAGCAAATAAACTTCATTCCTTTGTACAATCTAATTCAAAATACAAATCCATGAATTAAAACCACAAGAAACGGCTTAAATTAAGCCAAGGGGCAAAGAAAAACTTGAAACCAAGTCATAGAGAGAGAGAGAGAGAGAGAGAGAGAGAGAGAGAGAGAGAGAGAGAGAGAGAGAGAGAGGTGAGGAGTAAGAGGGGAGCGGGATGGGGAAGTTTAAATAAGGTTGGAAGGAGGGACATGAAGATCCAGATTGGATTTGGATTTGGTAAAATGTTGAAAATGTTTGAAACATTTCTTAACTTTTGTATCATCTTCATGGTACACTTTCCTTGGTTATCATGTCATACACAGCTGGATGGCTCTAAAGCCTAATTTGGTTATTCATGTCACTTTCTTTTGTCTCCAAAAAAGAGGGAAAAAAAAGTCTATTCATAATATTTTTAGAGCTTAGGGCACCTTTTCTAAGTCGGATTTAATAATAATTTGGTTTTTTGTTTTTAAATATTAGGTTTTTTTTCTTACTATTTCTCTGTAATATATTTCATGTATACTTAAAAAATATATATATATATATATATATATTTGTGTTGTGACCTATTCAACGATGACGCTTCTGATGTTATCTTGCAGTTGGCATTAGGATCGTTAAAGATCACGTATTTGTTTAGATTGCAGTATCTCATTAAATCTCCTTATAATTAGAAGTGGATTTAGTTTTGATTTGTTTACTAGTTTGTTACACGATTTTCTGCCGATTTTTAGGTAGATTTTTTTATATCTTTTATATTCTCATCAACCATTCAATAACTCATTCTTTCCTTGACAATTGGTAAGTCGTAGGGATATGTGAGATCAAAATGGGAAGGGAATCAAGTTTTTCAGTTGTTGCACCACCAGTCTTCAAAGGAGACAATTATCAAATATGGGCAGTTCGTATGAAGACTTATCTGGAGGCTTTGGATCTTTGGGAAGCAATAGAAGAGGATTACGAGGTCCCTCCACTTTCAGCAAATCCTACTGTAGCACAAATCAAAGCACGGAAAGAAAAGAAGACAAGAAAATCAAAGGCAAAAGCTTGCCTATTTGCAGTCGTATCTCAAATGATCTTCATGCGAATAATGTCTCTCAAAACAGCAAAGAATATCTGGGATTATCTCAAGGTTGAATATGAAAGAGATGAGAGGATTCGTGGAATGAAAGTCCTGAATTTGATTATGGATTTCGAGTTGCAGAAGATGAAGGAGTCTGAGTCGGTGAGAGAGAACTTCTCAGCATTGGCAACAAGGTGAGATTGCTTGGTTCTGTGTTAAATGATTCCAGGATCGTTGAAAAGCTGCTGCTCACTCTTCCAGAGAAGTTTGAAGCCACCATTACTACTCAACACCAAAGACCTGTCAAAGATTTCTCTTATAGGGCTCTTGAATGCTTTACAAGCACAAGAGCAAAGGAGATCTATGAGGCAAGAAGGGGTGATTGAAGGTGTCTTACCTGTTAAGCATCAAGACAACAGCAAGTATAAAAACAACAAAGTTTTCAAAAACCAATCGATGAATGGAGATTCATCTGCCAATTATCAGAAGACAAAAGAAGGAGGTTCCAAAAAATCTTATCCACCTTGCCGCCATTGTGAGAAGAAAGGTCGTCCACCATACAAGTGTTGGAGAAGACCTGACGCCAAATGCTCCAAATGCAATCAACTTGGACATGAAGTTGTGATCCGCAAAGTCAAAGGTCAGGTGAAAGAAGTAGATGCACAAGTAATTGATCAAGAAGAAGATCCATTGTTTGTGGTCACTTGTTTCTCAGGCAAAGAATCAAGCGAGAGCTAGTTGATTGACAGTGGGTGCACAAACCATATGACATATGACAAGGAGTTATTTGAGGAATTAAGAGACATTGAAGTCAAGAGAGTGAGGATTGGCAATGGTGAACACTTGGAAGTCAAAGGAAAAGGCACAGTAGCAATAACAAGTTGTGAAAGTACAAAATTTATTTCAGTTGTTTTATTTGTACCTAAAATTGATCAAAATCTCTGAAGTGTTGGTCAGTTACTTGATAAAGGCTATAAAGTGTTGTTTGAGAATAAGTCATGCTTGATTAGAGATGCTAGTGGAAAAGACTTGTTCAATGTCAAAATGAAAGGAAAAAGTTTTACTCTAAATCCGACGACCTTTATATCTAGAGCTAGTGCCACTGAGATTTGGCACAAAAGACTTGGGTACTTTCATTATCAAGGTTTGCTTCAAATGCAGTCAAAGAAGCTGGTACAAGGACTCGTTGACATTGATGATGACATGCCTATTTGACGTGCTTGTAATTTTGGGAAGCAACATAGGCAACCCTTTCCTAAACAGGCATGTAGAGACTCGAAAAAGTTGCAGTTGGTTCATATTGATTTTTGTGGTCCTCAGCGAACACCATCATTAAATGGTAATCTTTATTACATTGTTTTTATTGATGATCTAACAAGAATGTGTTGGATCTTCTTGCTGAAGCAAAAGTCAGAAGTTGCTGGTGTATTTTGGAAATTCAAAGCCAGAGTTGAGAATGAAAGTGCATGCTTGATTCAGACTATAAGGTCAGATAATGACAAGGAGTACACTTCAGAAACTTTTAACATGTTTTGTGAAGAGGCTGAAATTGAACATCAATTGACAACACCATACACTCCTCAACAGAATGACGTCAGTGAAAGGAGGAATAGATTCATAATGGAGATGACGAGATGCATGCTTCATGAGAAGTATCTTCCAAAACCTTTTTGGGGAAAAGCACCAAACACTCTTGTGTGCTTGCAAAATAGAATTTCAACAAGAGTTGTGAAGGACCTAACACTATTTGAAGTTTGGTATGGTTACAAACCTTCTTTAAAGTTCCTTAGAGTATTTGCGTGTCTTTATTGTGATAAGCTTGACAAAAAGGCAGAAGCTGGCATCTTTGTTGGGTATAGCCCTATATCCAAAGCTTACAGAGTTTTTCAACCACACACTAATCATGTTATTGTGAGCCAAGATGTTCATTTTGCTAGAAATGAGCAATGAAATTTGGAAGAACTGATGAAGGTGAATCAAATTTCTAATGCACCAAACAATTTAATCTTTGGTAGCATGTTACAAGAGTCTGAAGATGAACGACTAGAAGAGTCTGAAGATGAACGACAAGATGCTTTAGTTGATAATGTACCTGACAGAGGAGGAGCTTTCGATGATCGAGAAAGACAAAACCTGAGAGTTAGTTGATCGACCTCTAAATAGAAAGATAATTGGAGTAAGATGGGTGATCACGTCTTTGTTTAGATTACTGTCAGTATCTGATTAAATTTCCTTATAGTTAGCCGTTGATTTAGTTTTTATTTGTTTACTAGTTTGTTATCAGATTTTCGGTAGATTTTTTAATATCTTTTCTATTCTCTGTATGTATATAAAGATTTCTTACTCTTCATAATACAATCTTCTCATCAACCATTCAATCACTCATTCTTTTACTAACAAGGATCTTCAGAGTAAAAAGAATGGATCGGAGTGTACTTCGTAAAGAAAATTATAAAAAAGAAAGTGGTTAGTTTTTATGCAACTAAAAAAACAGGAAGATGATCTACATCTACAAAGAAATATGAGAGGTTCTTGAACTTTTTGAACATTTTTCTGTTGGATTCTAATTGGGGTTAAAAATAGGAATTCCAAACAGTAAAGAGATGGTCAAGTACAAAGGGGGCAGACATAGATAGCCATTAAGTTATTAATTTTGACTTGTAAAAAAAAAAAAAAAAAAAAAAAAT